ACTGAGAATTCCTCCTCTTTTTAGAGCATACAGGGTAACTTCCTGACATTGCCATGGCATCGGTGAACTGACAGGAAGTTAATGCATTATTATTAGCATATAACGAGCAGTAAGGACAACCAGAGGTCCCTTTCGTGGCCATCTTGGTTTTGGTGGGTTTTGGCCAGCTTCTTTACCACAAGCTGTTGGTTGTTGTTTTGTTTTGTTTTGTTTTTGAGACAGAGTTTTGCTCTTGTTGCCCAGGCTGGAGTGCAATGGCACAATCTCAGCTTACTGCAACCTCCACCTCCCGGGTTCAAGTAATTCTCCTGCCTCAGCCTCCTGAGTAGCTAGGATTACAGGCAAGCGCCACCATGCCCAGCTAATTTTGTATTTTTTTTAGTAGAGACAGAGTTTCTCCATGTTGGTCAGGCTGGTCTTGAACTCCCGGCCTCAGGTGATCCACCCGCCTTGGCCTCCCAAAATGCTGGGATTACTAGGCATGAGCCATCACGCCCCGCCTATAAACTGTTTTATCAGCAAGGTCTTTATGACCTGTATCTCCTATCGACCTCCTGTCTCACCCTGTGACTTAGAATGCCTTAATCTCCTGGGAATGCAGCCAAGCAGGTCTCAGCCTTATTTTACCCAGCCCCTATTCAAGATGGAGTCTCTCTGGTTCAAATGCTTCTGACACTCCTGCCTCAGACTTTCAAACAGCTGGGACTATAGGCACACTCCATACCTAGCTAATGTCTTAATTTTTATTTTGTAGAGACAGGGTCTTGCAATGTTGCCCAGACTAGTCTCAAACTCCTGGCCTCAAGCAATCCTCCCACTACAGCCTTGCAGAGTACTGGGATTACTGCATGAGCCACCATGCCAGGCCTTGATTTTTCTTAGCATGTGGGCTTAAGTCATTCAATGCTGATGTTAAAGGAAAATGGTGTCGTGCGTGGTAGCTCACACCTGTAATCCTAACACTTTGGGAGGCTTATCACCTGAGGTCAGGAGTTCAAGACCAGCCTGGCCAACATGGTGAAACCCCGTGTGTACTAAAAATTTACAAAATTTAGCCAGGTGCAGTGGCTCATGCCTGTAATCCCAGCACTTTGGGAGGCCGAGGTGGGTGGATCACTTGAGGTCAGGGGTTCCAGAGCAGCCTGGACAACATGGCGAAACCCCATCCCTACTAAAACTACAAAAATCAGCTGGGCACAGTAGTGAGTACCTGTAATTCCAGCTACTCAGGAGGCTGAGACAGGAGAATTGCTTGAAACCAGGTGGCGGAGGTTGTAATGAGCTGAGATGGTGCCACTGCACTCCAGACTGGGTGACAGAGTGAGACTACGTCCCAAAAATAATAATTTTTTAAAAAAGGAAAATGGGAGGCGACTGTAGAAGGTAGAGGATTTGGGGTGATAGTTCATTTCAATTGTAATAAGGAACACAAGATGCTAAGAGTAATGGGATGCAGCGGCCATCTGCTATTTTTGCCTGTTCAGCATCCACTCACCCTTTGTGTGATGACACCCCAAGCTTCCTTTGAACCAACCCTTCCTTCAGCGGAGGCTGACCCCACCCCTCGTTCTATGTGGTGGTCACATGTCCCAGGTCTAGCCAATCGGCACATTTCATCTCCGAGCCGCAGCTGTAGGTTTCTAGCGGAAGCTAGGCTGCTCCCTGCCTTCTACACCTGTCAGGGGAGAAAGTGTTCTCTTTCCACTGGAGTTGCTAAGCATGAGGGATGTAAGCCTGGACCTGCTGGTGGCTGCCTTTGCCACCGCCTGGGGAGACTCTGGCCAGGCATGAAGCCCGCACAGAGTAAATGAAGCAGGGCCAGGAGATGAGGAGAGATGAATTCTAACTGTATCTATCATATGAGTACTAGGATCTGTGTCTGAAATTAGATCCACATGGCTTTCTCTTTCTCTTTTCCTTTTGTTGTTTTTCAAGACAAGAGTCTCACTCTGTCACCCAGGCTGGAGTGCAGTGGCTCGATCCCAGCTCACTGCAACCTCTGCCTCCGGGGTTCAAGCGATTTTACTGCCCCAGCCTCCCAAGTAGCTGGGATGACAGGCATGTGCCACCATGCCCGGCTAATTATTTTATTTTTAGTAGAGACGGGGTTTCACTATGTTGGCCAGGCTGGTCTTGAACTTCTGATCTCAAGTGATCTGCCCTCCTTTGCCTCCCAAAGTGCTGGGATTACAGGCATGAACCACTGTACCCAGCCCAAGTGGCTTTTTCGGTTACATGAGCCAATGTATTCTTATAAGTCCATGCAAGTTTCGTGTCTGTTATTTGCAAATAAAGGAGTTCTGATTGGTTTCCAGTGAAACCTCATCTGTAAGACTCCTCAGCCAGCAGTATCCATGGGGCTTGCCCTATAACAGCTTCTGTGCAACCCAGTAGCCTTGAACACTGGAAGCCACTGAGCCCTTCTGTGACTAGACGCACCCCTCTGAGGCTGAGATTACTAGTGTATTCATTAGAACCGGTTTGGTCTCAGTGACTGAAAACCCAACCCAAACTGGTTCATCTGGAAAGGAAAAGTCAGCTTGGCACAGTGGCTCATGCCTGTAGTTCCAGCACTTTGGGAGGCTGAGGCGGGCGAATCACTTGAGCCCAGGAGTTCGAGACCAACTCGGGCAACATGGCGAAACCCCGTCTCTACAAAGAATTTTAAAAATTAGCAGGCCCTATGGTGCTCCCCTGTAGTCCCAAATGGAGGCCTTGGGCCTTCCAAATGGGCAAAGTTGTTATCTGATTGGCTGAGATCTTTGTCATCTGCTCCACCCCTGAGCTGGAGTCCCACCCAGAATAATTGACTGAAAAGTGGTGTGCTCCTGTGGTAAGGTGTACATTATTTGACCTTAACTCTTCACCCTTCCCCCTACCCATGCCCTTGGACATGCAGCTTTGCAGTGCCTTCTCCTCACGGGCAGGATGACCTGCCCTGCTTCTCTTTTCTTGTTTGAGACAGAGTCTTGCTCTGTTGCCCAGGCTGGAGTGCAATGGTGCAATCTCAGCTCACTGCAACCTCCACCTCCTGGGTTCAAGCGATTCTCCTGCCTCAGCCTCTCAAGTAGCTGGGATTACACCACCCCCAGCTAATTTTTATATTTTTAGTAGAGACAGGGTTTCACCATGTTGGCCAGGCTGGTCTTGAACTCCTGACCTCAGGTCATTCGCCCGCCTCGCCTCCCAAAGTGCTGGGATTACAGGCGTGAGCCACCATGCCCTGCCCTGCCTCTTGAATCTAGAATCAAACATGGGGCTTGTGCATTGGTGGTGTCAGTCTCTCACCTGCTATGTCATTGTGAGACCAAATCCAGGTGAGCCCAATGCAGTATGTCCGCTCTATGGAGCAGAGCTGAGTTAATCCTGTGTGTTAGGATGTTCTTGCATTGCCGTAAAGAAATACCTGGGCTGGGTACACTGGCTCACGCCTGTAATCCCAGCACTTTGGGTGGCCGAGGTGTGAGGATTGCTTGAGGCCAGGAGTTCAAGACTAGCCTGGGCAACATAACCAGGCTTCATCTCTATTAAAAATAATAATAATTGGCCGGGCACAGTGGCTCACTCCTGTAATCCCAGCACTTTGGGTGGCCGAGGTGTGAGGATTGCTTGAGGCCAGGAGTTCAAGACTAGCCTGGGCAACATAACCAGGCTTCATCTCTATTAAAAATAATAATAATTGGCCGGGCACAGTGGCTCACTCCTGTAATCCCAGCACTTTGAGAGGCCGAGGCAGGCAAATCATGAGGTCAAGAGATCAAGACCAGCCTGGCCAACATGGTGAAACCCTGTCTCTACTAAAAATACAAAAATTAGCTGGGCACGGTGACACGCACCTGTAGTCCCAGCTACTCGGGAGGCCGAGGCAGGAGAATCGTTTGAACCTGGGAGGCGGAGGTTGCAGTGAGCCAAGATCACACCACTGCACTCCAGCCTGGCAACAGAGCGAGACTCCGTTTCACAAAATAATAATAATTATTATTTAAAAACAGAATGGCCCTACCCTTCACTGGCAGGGGTCAGGGGGCCTCCTGTCGTCTCCAAATCATAGGACTGTTCCCCACCAGCCATAGCTGATCATTTTAGGAGTGGTTCCAAGAGGTCCCAAGCTGGACCAATTACAGCCTCTCCTAGAGGGTTACAATTGAGATGAGAACCAATCAATATCTGCTATAATTAAAAATATGAGAACTTCAGAGTTGTGGGCAGCTGTGTTTAGTTGAAAGCCTAGAGAAGCAGAGAGAGTCCATGTGTTTGTTACTTACGGTAATGCTGGCTGCTGGAACAAATAAAGCCCCAAATCTCTGCGGCTTAACATCACAGAAGTTCATTGCCTACTCAGATAACAGTCTAAGGCAGGTCTGCTACACGGCCATTCAGGGACCGCTGCCTCATAGTTCTGCTCTCTCTTGGGGCCTTGGCTGGTAAATAGCAAACAATGCAGAGAGGAGAAGACAGATCCCTGATTTTAACCATCTCAGCCCCAGACAGGGAGCTGTGTCATTTCCACCCACATTTCATTAGCAAGAACCAGTCACACAACCACACCTAACAGCAAGGAAGCCTGGGACATGTGCGCTCAGGAAGGGAAGGAATCAGTTTCTTAGCAGAGGAGAAAGGGAAGAGAAGAGAAGGAAAGGAGGAAAAGAGACAGAGGGAGGGAAAGAAAGAGACAGAGAACTGAGGACACAGAAGAAAGAGAGGCCAGGCACAGCGGCTCACATCAGTAATTCTAGGGCCTTGGGAGCGGGAGCCAAGGCAGGTGAATCACTTGAGACCAAGAGTTCAAGACCAGCCCAGGCAACATAGTGGAACCCTATCTCTACAACAATATTGTTATTATTAAATAAAAGAAAGGGAAGAGACAGCCATGAAGATAACTAGCTGAGGCCAGGCACAGTGGCTCAGGCCTATAATCCCAGTACTTTGGGAGGCTGAGGTGGGCAGATCGCTTGAGGTCAGCAGTTCCAGATCAGACTGGCCTACATAGTGAAACCTTATCTCTACTAAAAATACAAAAATTAGCCAGGCATGGTGGGGCATACCTGTCTTCCCAGCTACTCAGGAGGCTGAGGCAGGAGAATCACTTGAACCTGGGAGGCAGAGGCTGCAGTGAGCCAAGATCGTGCCATTGCACTCCAGCCTGGGCAACAGAGTGAGACCCTGTTTCAAAAAAAACCCACCAAAAAACATCACCTGGCTTGTTAAAACACAGATTCCTGGACCCCACCCAGAATTTGATTCAGTTCGGGAGTGGGGCCTGTTAAGATGCATTTCTAGCAAGTTCCCAGGTGATACTCATGCTTCTGGTCCCAAACCACACTGTGAAGTGCCAGCTCCAGATTAGAAGACCCCAAAGAGATACTGGAGCCAACCACAATGTACAAACCTGATTGGGTCCTGTTGGAAACAGATGCTTGGTGCCGCGAAGAAAAATCAACACTGGGACGAAGGATCTCTCAGCAATGCAATTTTTACTTCTTACACTGCAGGAAGGGTACTCTCACTAGCCATCTTGCCGTGAGAGTACAAAGAACAAAGGAAAACACACAGATTTATTCCTTACACATTTGGGATCGTCCTTACTGCTGTGTCTGATCTCCGTTGGCTGGAGCCAGACCTCACAATCTAAACTAAAACCCGATTGGCTAACAACTTAAAACTTTTCTAAACAGGTAAAAGCAATGGAGAGCTGGGACATGAGCACGTCCAGCACAGATATCTTGGTTAAAGTACAAGGACATAGAAAGTACTACGTGCCTGTAAGTATGGCGTGTCTAACAGCTACATAGGATAGGGCTTAACAAAGTTATTAGCTCACTTATTCTTTAATAGGAAAACTTTAAAAAGAAACTTTTATACTTCCCACAAGGTCCTGACTTGGAAATTAAACATCTTTAAAATTCATTTAGGAAATAATTGGGTTCATTTGAATGTGGACTCAATATTAGAAATTTTCTATTAATTTTCTTGGGTAGGGCGGCGACATGTGGCTGGCTATAAAGAAAGATGTCTTTATTTTTAGGAGATTCACACTGAAGTCATTAGGGGTCAAGTGCCATGATATTGACAGCTAACTTTTATTTCATTTATTTATTATTATTACTATTATTTTAGGGACAGGGTCTTGCTCTGTCGCCCAGGCTGGAGAACAGTGGCACGATTGTAGCTCACGTAGCTTCATACCCTCAGATCAAGCGATCCTCCTGTCTCAGCCTCTCCAATAGCTGGGACTATAGGCCCACACCACCATGCCTGGCTTACAAGTAACTTTTAAATGCTGGCCGGGCATAGTGGCTGATGCCTGGAATCCCAGCACTTTGGGAGGCCAAGGATCACTTGAGGTCAGGAGTTCAAGACCGGCCTGGCCAACATGGCACCCAACACCTCGTCTCTACAAAAAAATACAAAAAATTAGCTGGGCATGGTGGCAGATGCCTGTAATTCCAGCTACTCAGAAGGCTGAGGCAGGAGAATCACTTGAACCCAAGAGGCGGAGGTTGCAGTGAGCCGAGATCATGCCACTGCACTCCAGCCTGAGTGATAGAGCGAGACTCCCTCTCAAAAAATAAATGTTTCAGCAAAATACACACATGCACACAGACAAAAAAAAATATGACAAAATGGTTATTATTGAATTTCGGAACAGGTGTATGAGTGACCATTATACCACTTTTTCAACTCCTCTATGTTCGGATGTTTTAAATATTAAAGCTAAGGGCTGGATATAGTCGCTTATACTTGTAATCACAGCACTTTGAAGGGCTAAAGTGGGAGCATAGCCTGAGCCCAGAAGTTCGAGACTGCAGTGAGCTATGGTCACACCACTGCACTCCAGCCTGGACAACAGAGCAAGACCCTGTCTCAAAAAAATATAAAATAAAATGAAATAAATCTAGGGCGGGTGTGGGGGATGGACTAGGGCATCACTGCCTAATTGAACAAGCAGGAGGCTGCCATGGGACGACGCCAGGCTCAACTGTCAGCCCCTCTGGGTCATTCTAAGGACTGTGGATTCTATACTGAATGCATGAGGAAACCCTTGAAGGCCTTAAGCAGAGAGTGACATGATCTAATTTTTTTTTAATCTGTAGCTTTCTTTTTCTTTTTTGAGACAGAGTCTCGCTCTATCGCCCAGGCTGGAGTGCAGAGATGAAATCTCAGCTCACCAAAACCTCTGCCTCCCAGGTTCAAGCAATTCTCCTGCCTCAGCCTCCTGAGTAGCTGGGAGTACAGGCACGCACCACCACTCCCGGCTAATTTTTGTATTTTTAGTAGAGAAGGGGTTTGACCATGTTGGTCAGGCTGGTCTCAAACTCCTGACCTTGTG